AAAAAAAAAATCGCCTTTGGTGATACTATACTGGCGAGCACGATGTATTGACAGAGAAAGGTGCCGTTCCCGAGCAAGCGAGTAGACAACGTGTCAATCGCTGCACTAATGGTTGTTTACAAAAATTGAGAAGCAAACGGTGAAGGGGGAAGGGCGCACATCAGGCATATATTTACGTATGTGCGGATTTGCTTGTGCATGGCTGCCATCCGTGTTTGCAAAATAAGAGGGCTCCGCGCACTCCGATAATTATACGCCCGCGTAATTGTTATCGTCTGCTTGTACCTTTACGGGCATATTTGCCTACGTTCCCTTGTAAGAATAGAAACCCATATGCCTGATCATATGCTTAGATACATCTGTGTATTTTTATTTTTTTTTTTTTCCTTCCAACTATTTCAGTGCCAATTTTTTTTTTTTAAATCCCATGCGCCTCCTTCCCAAATGAATGACAAATTTTGCTCATTTTTCGTATAACATTTCGGTAAATTACCATACCTGTTGAAAAAAAAGGTTGGGTTTTTATTTACCAAAATTTTATGCTCGCATTTATGTATCCCCACCCAATGTGCTGAGAGGAAAATAGGGGAAAATGGGGGAAGAAAATTACACACCAGATGGTTGCAGTAGCAGTAGTGGCACAAAGAATCTGGATTTTAGAGAAATTCAAAAGGAAATAAGCGAATTTAAAATTAAGCAAAACGAGACTTTCAATTTTTATCTAGACAGTATTGACAAATTGCTGCAAAAAGTTCAAAAGGCCAAAACAGATGTAGAAGAAAAAATAAAAAAAAAAAAAGACACCATTAAGAGCGAAAGCGATAAAATGCGTGGAAATGCAAATGTGAATGGCAGTAGTGTCCAGATTAATCTCAGCAGTGTGAATACAAGTGAGGAAAAAAACAAGTACGATATTAAGGAGCTAGTAAAAGACGTTAAAGAACTGAAAATTACAGAAAAGGTGTGTGAAGAAAATAAAAAATTTTACAACATTTTGTTGTCATCTTATAGGGGCATCATATCATTGATAAAACAAGAAACACCAGAAATTTTCAACAATGTTAACATAAAAAAAAGCGTTATCCTTAGATTAATTCTACTGCACTTTTTGCAAAAGGGCGATTTCTTTATGTACTACGTGTTAAATAAAGAAATTCTGAAAAAAAAAAAAAAAAAAATGGAAAAGGGTTGCCTAT